CTGACCCTTTTTTATGCCTACTATTGTTCTTAGTGCACGTTTTTGAAGAATAAATACCCTAATCGACTCAGTTGAATGATCTATTCCATTCTAATACCAAAAACTAATACCAATGGTATTTGTTTCCACTTAAAATAAATTTTATATTCCTAACGAATACCGCTCACAAACGAATCCCAAAACAAGTTAAATGGTATCAGGGTACAGTCAGTAATAAAAATGCTTTCAATGTGGTTTTAAGTAATATTTAATTTAACAAGATCAGTCTTATTAAACAAATAAAAGTGTAGTAGGAAAATGTTTGGTTAATTATTATAATTCCTATGTAGGTAACTAACTATATAAGCTTTATTGGCAGGTAGCAGGTATGCACCTCTAAATAAAGCTTTTAATTACAGCAAATCACAATGATAAGTCTACAAAATACAACAAAAAAATTAAACGCTTTAATAATTATTTATACAAAAAAAAATTTGTATAAATAATTATTAAAGCGTTTAATCGACGCCTTACGTGATCAGTGCTGCCAGCCTTCTGGAGACGTTTCCAGTAGACAGTGATACGCAGGAATGGTACGATGCGTTCTTAGCTATTTTTACTTTTAATTTTTATCTGCAGTAAATATATTATACATTAGCGACAATTTTGACGACCTAAAAACTATAAAAAAAACCATTATAAAATATTGAACAGTCTACTTTTAATATACAGATGTCGTTTCTAAGATAAAATAATCACATGTTTGCACGCTAATAATAAATTTTAACTTGCAGTTCCACTTTTATGAATTATAAGAAAAACAACTGACAATATAAATACTCAATATAAAAAATATAATAAAAATTATGTAATTTTTGGCTTTAAAATCAGGAATATTGTCTTATAGTCTAACTTTAATACAATATCACAAAATCAACTTTAGTTTTAATAATAAACTACATAAGTAAAACTAATCAAATTTTTCCATGGGAGGCAACAAATAAATATTACCCCGCAGTGTGATGCCATAAGACATCAACGAATGAAAATATGCAAAATACGTCTGCCTCAATACCACATTGGAAACAAGAGGACGCAGTTTCCTCAATGCGTGTGCAGTTGTATATAAGTTTTATAAACATGAATAGCATTCGAATATAAAATAATTATGTACTTCAGTGTAATTTAAAGTAATATTGAAAATTGATGTAATAAAATAACAATAATTGATAATATTAAATCTTTTATTGTTCTATTTTATTATTGTTTTTGTGTATCTTAATATTGTTGTGTAACGAATTATTATTACGATTTTAACTATCATGGCATTGACTTACAATTATATGGACGTCGGGTCCGCGCTAAAAAGTGTCCGCACTTGTAAGGCGCTAAAATCGTATACAGAGCGCGACACTCCGCTTTAGTCTTCATTTGTTCTACTGACAGCGCGATACTGCGATGACATTACAATTTAAATTTCGAATAGGTTGACTTGGGACATTTTTTTCGTGGTTTTTGTATTAGACCCGTCGTCCATTTATTTGTAAGTCAATGTATCATGGTGATTATTTTTTGTGAATCAAATAATTATTCGTTATTGTTCAATTTTAAAATTTTGTGACTTGTAATTTATTTGTTATCAATAAATGACTATGAGCATGAATAAATAAATGTGCCTTGTACTACTTTTGCGCTGATTGTGTCAATTACATAAACAAATACAACACAATTGAGTACTCGCTTACGCTTTTAAATTCAACCTACTACCCGTTGACCGCAAGATTTGTTTTACAACGACGGCGTTACGTCACCTGATTACATTGACTGCCCTGGTTGTTATTCATATTATATGTGGGTCAATCAACTTTTTTTTGCCGACTCTCGATTGTGCCTCAATTTTCTTTCTAATGAAATTTAAAAAAATATCTATCGAACCTTTAAAACGATTGTTATTTAGTCCCTGTTCGGTCCCGTTGTCAATGCATACTTTTAAAAAAAAATATTCAAATTCTGTTCGTTGGGTAAAGAAACAAAACTGCGAACAGTACTCGTACTTTTGGTGTATTAAGGCCACATTTGCAAAATGTAAATTTTTTTAGGGCAGGGGTTTAAATACTCTCTCTATGAACGAAATGGAACAACACGAGAGAAATATATTGGATATGTATGTATATATAGTATATGCTATGCTATGATTTTCTGTTCCGTAATTGTGAATATCTTTTTGGAAAAAAATCGACCAGATTATTTGATTATGCCTGAAAGAGTTTAATAGAAAAAAATTGTATAGTAAACTTTTTGCCCTCCAGGACTGGCTAAGCGGTCTAAGTCACACTGCCAGGTCTTATATTAAAAAAAGGCCTCAAAAGTTTTCTAACCCTTTCGCTGTGTTTGTTATACCTGGTGCCACAGTCGCGTTTTCACCTCGCATCTCCCGTCTTAGGAATAGAGCCCATCCACACATCATAGATGCCTGGCATCGTAAGACCACGCGGGCATCTCGTTAGTTATCTCTATCTAATTTGTGTGGCAATTTCTATTATTTATTTATATGTGGTTTAAATATTGTAGAATATTATCATGAAGTATTATTTAATACTCGAGGGTAGTATACTGAAATATTTTGAAGATTTCATACTAATTTACTCAAATATTTAAATAATAAAAATTGCCACCGAAATTTGGTAGACAAAACTAACCTTTTTTTTTTTTTTTTTTTTTATACATGACAGGCAAATGACTCCACTCCACCTGATGTTAAGTGGAAAGTGGTATCCAAACGCGAAGGAACCTAGTGCAGCGATGAAATTACCTTAAAATTACCCCAAGCTAAACGGAACAAGATTACATTTTTCTTAATTAACTTTTTCAAAAATTCATAAACGTTCCACGTGATGTGCTGTAAAAGCATATGACTACTATCATAATGTCAATTCAGATTAAAATTATCAAATATCATTTTGATTATTATTTTTATTCCTTCGCAACTTTGTTAGCAAAAAAAGTTGATAGACCCATGCATATACTATAGGTTACAATAAAAGATATCTGGTACGTTTGTAACTATCTAAAAATTATACCGGAAATGGTTACGATTATTTCTATTAGGATCGGTTCACACGATAAGCGTTAAAACAAATAAACGCGCGGCAGCGTTTGAACACCTACATCTACATACGAGTATAATACGTACCTTTGTAAATTACTGCATAAATGTAAATTGTTATAATATTGTTTTTCATTTTTTGTTATTGTTATTCCTCTGTTTTTTTTTTGTTTATGCAATAAACAGCAAACCACTTAATGGGAGATGGTCATCGTCGCCTGTTGCAACATCAGATAAGCTGCCTATGCGTTGCCAGCCTTTCAGAGCCCTTTCAACACGCTTTTTGGAGAACCCTATGTCATAGAGCAAAGGAAATGTCGTGTGGTCTTACAATGCCAGGCATCTAAGATCTGGGACACAAAACTTGACAATTGCCGGCGGTTTAACGACCTGCCACGCCACCCGCTGCCTCGTCAGTCGCCATCGGTCGCTTGTCAACGTCGGGTCGGTGTAAAATTTTAATTATTTATTATTAATTATAACCACCTCGCCTCCTAAAATATGGGCCCGCATTCAAATACCTTGCCTTAAACTTCTTTCTTGAAAACGGTCATTTTGCAGATGTTGCCTTATTACACCAAGGGTATGAATTCGTATCAATTTGAACAGCACAACACGCTCTCAACGCGCGTATAACGTTTATCATCTGCACCGAGCCTTACTGTTAGCTTCTGGCGGGTCAACGTAAAAAAAGATACGGACATTAGCATATTGGGGTTCACGTTTTGAGTCTTATTTTTATTAGCGTAAAGGTGCAATTTATATATTTATAAAGACAGAAGGGGCTACATAAAAGACTTCGAAAAGTAGATTATTGTAATACGGGGATTAGGTTTGTGAGAGAGTTTGTCCACGGAAGTACTGCAACCTTCCTATTTCTGCCGCCAAGCATATTGCGTTCCGGCTTAGAACGGGAAAGGGGGCTGGTGAAATTACAGGCACGTGGGACTTGTCAACCCCTCCGATCCTTGCGATTTGAAGCTCTGAGTGGCACTGCAACTGTTATGGACAGGCGTGTAGCTTACCATCAGGTGCAGGACTTGTTCGTCCCGTCACTTGATATTATAAAAAAAATAATAAATAAATAAAATTAAATGTAGAAAATGTGCAGGCCACAAAATTCGGCCGCACTCTTCCTTTGTAAGTCTATGCTACAATTAGTATACTACACGTGGAGTGCCTACAAGTATAATAACCCGGAAACTCTGATTTACAAAACTCGCCGGAGACATGTGGAATCACGAACTGGAAAAACAAAAACTTACGCCTTGATCTCGGATTGCTTTTTACAGGTCACATTAAAAAAAGCTTTCGAAAACTATTATTTCTTAACGGTTCTTTTAAACTGTTAAAAATATGTAACCGCAATCAGCATTTCAATTGCTGCATAATTAAAAAAACATTACAGGCCATGTAGATGCTCATTTTACCAAAAACAATAATGCAACATAACCATTTTTGTAACACACAAAAAGTTACATCAAATTTTAATTGTATTCTTTATATAACTTCAAATTAAAATATACTTAATCTAGATAAGCACACTGTCACATGCCTTTCTATTACGGCACCAATATCTACATCCACGAAAAAAGATCCAATCATACATTATACGGCATTAAAAAAAGTATAAAAAGTTGTCCTAACTATGCCTTATTAAACCCGAAATCTTTACACTAAATTACTCATTACTGTCACTTTTATTAATACAAATTGTCAAATTTCAAGAAACATTGCTTGTTTTGTGATAGTTAAACACAATATTGGCAGCAAAGAGCAGCAATGTATCATGTAACGTTGTCAACGACGTTCCGTTGCAGCCTACGTTGGTACCGTGGACCTATCACTCAATGGAAAGGCGTTGCAACATTTCACTAACTATAAAATGCTCGTGGGGATCGCAAACTGCATCAGTCAATCTTAAGAAGTCGACAACAGCACCTAAATATTACAACATGATCGCTTTCGTAAGTGTTTTTACTATTTTTCGTGTGAATCAAAGTGACTTAACAGAAATGAACCGGAAATTAAATAGAACGGAACGGAAATGTTCCATTTTATTTGTGACACAAAATTAGGCCGTCTACTCGAGTGCTGTTGCAAAATAGTTTTTCAAAGATAAGAATTTTATGCATTACGGATTTAATTACAGTTTTTAGACAAATTGAAATTGTGTTGTTGTACGTAACGTGTAATTAAGTCACTAATTTAAATAAGTGTTACCATTTCTATACTGTTATGTCATGTAACAATTTTCTTGACCGGTAATTTGACTTAATTATAGGAAATAAAATATTACGTAGTGAAGGGACAATCACTGTTATCTTCCTGCATTACATTATTTATTTACTAAATGTATTTATTTTTTTAAATCACAAGGAGAATTTCCTTTTGTGATGACAGACGCAACTTGGCAGAATCATGTTATACCTTTAACTTTGTTTTGTAGTCAAATCAAAAAGATTTGTTATATTGTTTTTAAAAGTTTTCATTTTAATAAGTCACATCGACAATATGGATGATAATAAAAATACTAATTAAACTACTAGTAAATACTTTAAAAAAATTGAATTAAAATCTATTTATTCTATTATTCAATACACAGACTATAATTACTATAAATCATCACGAAATATTCATCCATTTAATTCATTAAATTAATTGTATATATAATTAAACTTTGCGCATTTTGTTCTAGTCCACTTAAAAGAAATCAAATTAAAATCCATTTATTTCAATACCCATGATATAATCACATATTTTAAATTTTATGAAAAGGTATGTACTCATAAAATAATCATTGATTATATTCCAGAAAACTGCAGCCGTCCTCCTCCTGGCCGCTTTTGCCGCGGCCCGACCATCAGACGAATGGGAGCCCGAGGGTCAGTCGCACAGCGAGCACTCCAAGCCGTACCACTACACGGTGGTGAAAAAGATTGGCGTCCCAATTCCTCACCCCGTGGCTGTCTCCGTCCCGCAATACGTCAAAGTGCCCATACCGCAGCCTTACCCTGTGCATGTCACCGTGGAGCAGCCGATTCACGTCCCTGTCTACAAGGTAACTATAGACAACATAAAGTTGAAATCTCCGAGGAGATAGCCTAGTCTGTATAACATTAAATTTAAAGAGACTTATCAAATTGATGTCACTAGTATCTCAGTAATTGAACACTCCACGCATTCTACTCCCGGTGGAACTAATATTAAAAAACAATTTTCTATTCAGTAGCATGGAATTGGCACAGTGATGCCGTTGACGTCTTTTCTATGATACCAAGGGAAAATTACATATTAATTTTATTATTAAAAAAAATTATAAGGTTAAAACTTGTCAATGGTATTAACAAAGAAAACTTACGTCTAAATTTAAAACTTGGCAGTGTAACAAATACCTACTCAAGGTTTAATTAGAACAATTTCCACGGTGCCTAGAGCAATTGACACCATGATGACGTTGATGCCTTTTCTATGGTGCTGCAAAAATTACAAGTGATGCGGTTTAAGTGTTCATACGAGGTGAAAATAACACAATGTGATACCGTTCACTCTCCCAGTCATAATATTCCTTAAATACAATACGACTTTCTTTGACATGTGCTTCTTAAATACTATACAGCAGAAAGTAACGCACATTTTAATTAGGTAATAATCTAGATGTGTCTGGATAAATATTAACAATTTTTCCCAAAAAATTGAAGCCTCTAAATAGGACCAACGTTTGCCTAAAATAGGCCCGGGCACCATGGAATTAAATCTCACTTACTTACTTACGTATATACATATATATATGTGTGTAACTTATGTGTTATGAATAAAGTTCAATGTACTCCGAAGTTCATTAATCTCTTATGTCATAATTACGTCACATGAATCGTGCTCCATTGTCATAATAAATATACTGTTTCATTGTCTGCCAATAACATTGTCACGAAACAGTTTCTCTTGAAGAGAAATTTATTTCTATGATCGTTAAATATGTATTGCAAAGAAAAAAATTAAGTATAATGTACGCATTTATACTTTTTATTGCACAGATACGTCGTGCAATTTATGACATAAGGGCACCATTCATTCAATACAGTTTTGTTATGTAATGCAACTGAGTTAACGAAAGTAAAAGTGACAGTCAGTGGAGCGTTCGTTCTTCAAAAAGAAGTTCACGTTTCCCGCGCAATCTTGCGGG